ATTTTCGTGTCTTAAAAAAAAAAAGTGTCAACTTGTTAGTCCTTTGTTATTTTTTTTCGGTTATTACCTTTTGTTGAGGGGCCGAATTTCTCTTTGTTTCGATTTTTTGAGTCTTGGGGGTTCGAATTTTTCGAATTTTTCCCCATTTATTTTTTCGATTTTTATAGAGTCTTAAAAAAAAAAATTTATGATGTCGAACCGTGAAAGAATTCAAGCCTTAGAGGATAACATGAAGATCATCGGCGATGGTCAACATGCTACCAACGAGAACTTGGGAAGGATCGAACTCATGGTCCAGGACTTGGCCGGGCAACTAACGCGCATAAACACGCGGCCAAGGAGAAGGCACGGGTCACGGTCCACGGCAGTGAGAACCGGGACCGAGCGCGAGGATGATCGCCGATCGCGGGGCTCGCACGCATCACACGCGAGTCACCAACGCGACGACCGGCGACGGCATGGTGAACGCGCACATCACGACCGTAGGCGCGCAGACGAGGACGACCGGCAGTCGTACGCATCGTACACATCGCGGGCTTCACACGATGAGCGTCGGGCACGACGCGATGACCGAGAGCGCTACCACGAGGGCCGACGATGCCACGAACGACGGGACGAGGGACGTGCCCGATACCACGAACGCGATGATCCACGGGATGATGGGGCGGGCACACGGCCAAAAATTGTGATGCCCACGTTCACGGGGACAGATCCGGACGCATGGTTGAGTCGGGCTGTGCAATTTTTTGAGATCAATGATGTGCCAAGGTACGAACGAGTTCAAATTGCTGCCTATCACCTTGATGGGGAAGTAAACGTTTGGTGGCAGTGGATGATGCACAAAAACCATGGCGAGTACATGCGATGGAGAGATTTCAAAAAAGAGCTTATCACGAGGTTTGGCTCGAGTGACTACCACGACTACAACGAGGCGTTGTCAAGGATCAAACAAGTGGGTAGTCTGAGAGATTATCAAAAAGAGTTCGAGCGAATCGCTAGTAGGGTACGAGATTGGCCCGAGGCTGCATTGGTAGGAACGTTTGTTGGGGGACTAAAGGCTGAGCTGGCAGCCGAGGTAAGATTGGAAAGGCCAGGTTCGATGCGAGCGGCTATAGAGTCGGCCAGACTGCACGAAGATCATCT